TACCCAAAGAGCACAATACAACCTCCCATGTGCATCTGACATTCAACATTATTGTGGGCGCCTACCATCATCCTGTACCCGCCGGGGTGGGCAACAAGGCTTAGTAGCAAACATATTCTCTCCCTCTCACTTGTAAGGCCATCCCCTTCTTCTATAAAAGGGGATGCGCTCTCTCCCAACAGATTCATTAGATCGATTAAGTTCACTAGTACACAACAGCAAAACCACCAGATTGAAACCACGAGCACACGCTCGAACACTTAGCACATAGCGGACCTCCTATCGCTTTCGGTCCCTCTGACTAGAGTCCGACCGGACCTCTTGTACACCCCATCTCTCTTCTTCTCGTTTATAACCCCACTGTAAACTTTGAGCACCTGGGCTCAAGAATAAAGTCACCGACCGACTCAAACTGGACGTAGGGCACGTTGCCTGAACCAATATAAACCATGTGTCATTGAGTGCTAGGCCACCTCCGATCATAACATACCGCAAAATTACAAATATTTACTTGTTGGTCACTTTCTGCACCGACAAGCACCTTGGCTTGTCAGTAATGTTGTCAATTAATGGCATTTAGAGATACCCTTTGCTGGGCTATTATCAGTAGAAAGATGAGCACAAATTTAGCATAAGCAGTTGATGAACCTATATACTGGAATGAGAAAGATAGCATTAACGTGGTGAGGAAGCACTAACTCACCTATTGAACAGCACTACCATGCACTCATGTTTGGCCCTTGCTGAGAAAAGGAAGAGGAAAATAGTGGGAACTGAAAGATAAATCCCCTATTCATATTATGGTACTACTGGCACAAATTCAGCATAAGCACTTGAACAACCTATATGCTGGAATAAGAAAAATGATATTAATATGGTGCGGAAGCACTAATTAAGTTATCCAACAGCAGTTCATCAAGGTGTGGGATGTGTGCGACCGCCGGATCTCCGAGGAGGCACAACTTACACTGAATAAATTAACCAAACTTTGACAATTGATGACACTAATATCATGCACACCACTTTGTGACAAAAAATGGCATCGGATGGAATTGGTAGGTGTATGTGTGTTTCTCTTAGAGGAGCATGACAAGCAAGTCTTACTGGACACCCAAACATTCAAAACCAAAGGTCGCAACTCACCGACATGGCCGCCCGGTCGCCGCCGCCCCGACCCGCGCGCTCGCTTGCTTGGCTCGGGAACTCGGAGTTTGGTGTGGTGGTGGCTATGGTCCCCTGCTCGTCGTTGGAGAGGTCAGTAGTGGCGAGACTCGGCGAGCTCCAACAGCTCCTCGATGGCCTCCGCCCTCCATGGTCATCATGAGGGAACTGTGGTGGGTAGGAGCACCTGAGGTCAGGGACACGCAGCTTGAGCTCCTTCTTGTCAGTTGTCACCGCCTGAGAAGAATAGGGCCATGTTCCTCTAGATGATGAGCCCGTCGTAGCTATCCCGGACCCTCCGGTGACTGTGAATGATGCTCCGGGGTACCCCTTGGCAGATCATCTTGAGCCCGGTGCCCCCAGGCTGTAACTGAAATGCCTCGAAGTGTAAGCAGAAGTACTAGCCAAAGCAGCTGAAAACCTGCATGAGTTAATTATAGCAGATCATGATGTGATTTTATAATAGCAGTGCTTCTTTATTGCACTTAAAACAGTGAGAAAAGGTAGCAAATCAAGAATCAATATGAAACATAATGTACTCGTGCCTTGAAACAACATGACCTTTTATTGAAAACCGATGAAGAGGGATCTGTACATGCAGTGTGTTTGTATAAGAAAAAAAATCAGTTGAACAAGCGAGAATCTCCCTGAAATGAATTGGCTAGTGATGGTGTACAATCACCCAGCCAAGTTTCTGAGACATGAACTTCTGTATTTGCAGAAACAAACCACAGTAAAAAACAATAGAAATTTTTAATCAACGTATTGATGTTAGTGTGAAGTACTGTAAGCATCCAAGTGGCATTCTCATCTTCATGAGGGTTTCACCCCAAAAATGTTCAATCAACTCAGGAGTTGAGGAAATTCAAACATGGCCTTTAAGACAAATCAACAAAGAACTATAGTATCTTAATAATGTATAATGTATATATCTGATGTAAAGTGAAAGAAACATGGACAATGCCAACAATGCATAGCCAAAAGATAATAATTATGCATTCCAAAGAAGTAGCACTTGGTGATGTACATTCCACTGAAAATTAGAGAGATCAAATCCTTGAAATGCTGATTAAGCAATTGACACGTGAATGAAACACTGGCCGGAAAACTCAAATGCAGTAATCGGAGCCCCACAATTTCTATATACAGAATTTGAGATCAGTAAAAGCTAATGCAGTAAAATAGTTTTCAATGACGAAGTGCACCAAAAGTGTGTCAAACTCCAACCTGAACCTGAAGAATAACCATCGAGCTCAAAACATATCCGACGTCGACCAACGGTTTCATCACCGGGCTCAAATAATTTTCAATCCACACCCACTCTACAAACGTTGACTACTTCCCACACGCGAATCATCTAGATCCTTCTCCAATCACACATCTCTGCAAAGCATCGCGAGCTCTGTGGTGAAAAAAAAATCAAACAATTAATATGTATTATGTACAAACAAAATCATCAAATAAACGGGGGGCGGGATGCACCTCAGCTGTGGGATGCCGCTCGCGTGAGGGCAGGCTGCGCTGCCCACTGGGCCCCCCTGTCCACGCGAGGCGATGTGCCCAGGAGGTCAGGGATTGGGGCAGGATGCATCGCCGCCGGGGGTTCCATCCGCACGGTGTGGGACGCACTACCATCGAGGGGCGGGATGGGATGGCCCATGGCGGCGAGGAGGCGCTACTGCCTTGCGCTGCTGCCTGCAGAGAAAAAGGGGCGTCGCCACCGGTCCTCATGCGCCGATCCGCATGGAGGTGGGGGTGGCCGGTGGCGGCGGGATGCGGATGGCACGAGGGGGCGCGACAGGGAGATAGGAGGGGAGGCGGCAGGAGGCAGGAGACAGGGAGAGGACGCGGCACCGGATCCGGCACACCGGCTGCTGCTGTGCTGAGGCGCAGCGAGACGACGGTGAAGCGCGACGCGGCAGCAAGATGACGACGCGGACGTAGCCGAGGGAATCCACCACGGCCGTGTCCGCCCTGCACGGATCCAGAGCCCGAGGGCGGCTGCCCGTCACCGACACCCACACACGCAAGGCCGTCGGGATGGGGAAGGGCGCAGTGGCCGCCGTCGAGAGGGGATGGGGAAGGGCGCCGCCACCATGGTTGCGGGGGTAGGGCCAGCGGCACGGCGGCTTTGGCGTCGCACCTGTGGCGGGCGCGGGCGGCGGCGGCGCGGCCTGCTGCGGGCGGGCACGGGCGCAGGGTGGGCGCGATGGGGGCGCGGCTGCGGCGCGGCCAGAATCACGGGAGTGGGACGTTTCTATCCTTGGAAGGGAGACGGGCGTAGGGGGCACGGAGAAAGATGGCACGAGCGGCAGGCAGGACGATGGACGAATGTCGCACCAAAAAATATTCACGCTTTGTTTTTTTTAATTGTAGGAGATGTGATGAGATCCGTAGGACGATTCGTTCAGCGTGAAGATACACTTTGGCATGCTCCCCGTGCTGTTTGTTACTACTATCTTATAAAGTGAGCGGTTCCATCTAGGTTTGATCATACAGTATTTTTTTTTACAACTCGTGCCACATGTTGAAGCAAGCACAATACACAATAAGAGTCTTGAGAAGTTAATCGTTACTTTTGCTGATGTGAAGGAAAAAAATAAGAGCTTGATGAGAGCAATATGGTCACAGCCTCACATGAGCTTATGTAGCGGTACGGTGGACCTAGATGTCTCATAATTTAGTGTATTTTAGAAATTTTTTAAAATAAATTAAGAGAGAACATAAAAGACGTATGTACCCTCGTTTTATTTCCTAATTAGACGCTATCATCAACGTGATTAATGGTGATTGATTGATAAATAGAAAGTATTTAATGCAAAACTGATTTTTGTTCTCTAGAATGCATTATATTTTATCACAAATTTTAAATGCTAGAATAGACTATATTATAGGACGGAGGGAGTATATGCGAGAGAAATACAAAAGAGAATATAGAATATGGTACCATATCATAAAAAGTTGAGTAAAATCCATTGGCGATCCTTAAACTTATATGACTATGTTATCCCGGTCTTTAAACTCTTAAAACGGTCATTAAGTCTCTAATCTCTTATCGGGCCTCAAGTTCAACCAAACAGGCCTAATCCCTCTCCCCCATCTCCCGAGCAACCTCCATCCTCTCTCTCTTTCTAAACTGAGCAACAACGCTCGTCGGCATGTGGACTGTGGCCTGCAGCCGCACGGAGAGCAGCGCTCTGTGTGTGGTGCTAGGGGTCTACGACAGTTTTGTCCAAACTTGAGATGTTTTGACTCTTTAAAAAAGTTGGAATAGCTTATAATTTAGACGGAAAAGAAGTATATTTAAAACTATTAGTAAAAATAGGTCCCGACAACAATACATGGAAGCAAAACTAGTTAAAGTTCTACCAAACACAAAGAGGTATCTCTCTGTTCTAAATTATAAACCGCTTTAACTTTTTTTGTATATCTATTTTGTTATATACCTAGATATATAGCAAATTATATGTAAAAAAAAAGTTAAAATGATTTATAATTTAAAACGAAGGAACCTCGTTGGACTGGAGAAGCCAAAGGACCAACTCATAAGGAGGCAAGAGACGACAAGAACTGTGCAAGCAAACCTACCCAAAAAGATATTCCTTACCTGGATCCGGTGCAGTTGCTATAGAGACTGCAACTTTAGCAGTCTCACAATCTTGGTCGTCCATATCGAATCCAAGGGCAAAGCACCTCATGCTCATTCGTGACTCAATTTTACAAGTCCCCTTCGCCTCCTCTGTTCCTTTGGAGGGAAACACAGAAGTTTGGCGCCATTTTTCACTTTGCTCGGAGCGGAGCTGTGACCATCGCGAGGGAGGCCGGAGAGCTGCATCGCCATGGAAGCTCCGGGACCGCCTCCGCCATGCGTGCGCCTCGTCGGACCTGCCTTGCCTGCTCCTCCATCCGTTGCCCCAACGCCTCTTCCCGCGAAGCATCAAGGCACCGTCATCTCTGCCGCCCCTGCGCGTTCTGGGGCTGCTGTCCTCCCGCACTCTCGTTTCGTCGATGGTGGAGGCAGCAAGGTGTCTGCGCCGGTGCTAAAAAAGACGCGTGTGATGAAGAAAGCCGGCGCTGTGCAGCCTCCCCGAGCTCCTGCACGATCTCCAGCAGCACCAAGCACGCAGGCAAGTGCCCAAGAAGCTATTGATGTTGTTGTCATGGATGACGCCCAGCAGCTGTTCGAGGAATCGCCTGCAAGGTTTGAGCTTTACTCCTACTTAGTTATTAGTTTCTGCATGGTTGAAGTTCTACAAATGATGAGCAAATCTGGTTGGTCATGTTCTGAATGCATTATTTACAACTGCAGAGTTGCTGCAATTCCTTTTTGGATTCCACAAATTGGTATGACATTTAGCAGTATCGATGAAGCTTGGAAATTTTGGGTTACATATGGTGGCCGGATGGGTTTTGATGTTCGAAAATGTTACACAAACACGAGTACTCTTGATGGATTGGTAACATCGAGTAGGTTTTTGTTTGTTCAAATCAGGGTTCTCTGGCTGAAAATAAAAACTTCAGTGTTAGCAAGCGTAATCGAGCTCATACAAGAACAGGCTGTAGAGTTCGCATGGGCATTACTTTTGAAAGAGAAAATAGGACTTACAAGGTACATGACTTATTTATTGAGCACAACCACATTCTCCAAACTGCTCAAACTAGTCATCTGATGCCATCACAGAGAAACATTTCTAAGCACCAAGCTATTGATATTGAGGTGGCTGATGATTCCGGTATTGCACCTAAAACGGCACATGAGTTTCTTGGTCGATATGTTGGTGGATCAGCTAACCTCGGGTACACCCATCGTGATCATAAGAATTATCTGCGTACTAAACGTCAAAGAGAGATGTTGTATGGTGAGACTGGAAGTTTGCTAAAATATTTTCAAGATAAAGTTGTGGAGAATCCCTCATTTCAATATGCAATACAAATGAACTGTGAAGAGCAGATATCCAATATATTTTGGGCTGATGCAAAGATGATTGTTGATTATGCTCACTTTGGCGATGTCATCGCATTTGACACTACCTTTGGAACCAACAAAGAATATAGACCATTTGGTATGTTCGTAGGTTTCAATCAGTTTAGAGAGACCGTGGTTTTTGGTGCAGCTTTGATGTATGATGAGACTATTGAGTCGTTCAAGTGGTTGTTCAATGCATTTCTAGCAACACATAATCAAAAGCATCCTCAAACCATTTTCACTGATCAGGACATTGCTATGGGAAAGGCAGTGGCTACAGTCTTCACCAGTGCATGGCATGGTTTATGTACTTGGCATAGATCACAAAATGCATTGAAGCACTTGAGTTCTCAGAATGAAGACGAGTCTGAGGATGAGGAAGAGTCAACCATCCTAGCAGATTTCAGTTCTTGCATGTATGAGTATGAACAAGAGGCAGATTTTGAAGAAGCATTTGCAGCTATGAGAGGAAAAGTTAGAAAATCAACTTGGCTGGACAGCATTTACATGCTGAAACATAAGTGGGCTGAGTGCTACATGTTGGGGGGGTCACTAGGAATGCGAAGTACACAACTAAGCGAGAGCTTGAATAATGCATTGAAAGGCCATTTGAAATCAGATCTTGACATTATTAGGTTCCTAAAGCGTGTGGAACATGTTGTTCAAGACAAGAGAGATAAGGAGTTACAAGCTAAATTTGAATCCACAAAGAAGCAACCAAGGATTGGGATGATGGCACCTATATGATACAAGCAAGTATGATTTCAAGCTGAATATGAAAAGTACTTGGCTGCCTACACAGTAAGCTCAAATGGAAGTAATGAATTTGTCATTGCAATTGGAGCTCCTATAGGGACATTGACAAATGAAGAAGAGCGCAAGGTTATGGTCAACCCAGCTGATCAGATGGTCACATGTAGTTGTCGACTCTTTGAGAGAATTGGTATATTATGCAGGCACGCATTGAACGGTCTCGATTTGGTGAACATTAAGCATTTGCCTGAACGATACATTTTGAAACGATGGACTCGAGATGCAAGGTCAGGTATTATCCAAGATATGAATGGGAGGGAAATAGTGGAAAATCCTAAGTTAGATGCTACACTTCGGTACAAAAATCTTTGCAAAACATTCATTCCGTTGGCTTCACGAGCTGCTGATTTTGAGGACTGCTATTTGCTTGTGGAAGAGACTTCACACTGCTAGTAAGCAGGTTGAAGAAAAAAAATCAAAGGAACTTCTAACATTAATGCTGAAAACTCTAGTGTTCAAGAAACATTCAGCTTACCTGAACAATATACACAAGTGGCTGGTCTAAAGAAGAAAGAAAAGCAAAAAGGTGGATCAAAACGAAAGAAATCTTGGACTGAAAATTTTCAGAAGAAAAAGAAAAACAAAGGGAACAAGAAGAATACAAGCAAACCTATGCAACAAGAAGATGGAAGTCATGTTCCAGAATCGCAAGCATATGAATCAATTTCTAGTTTTACCCAAATTCTTATGGTATGCTTACAGTTTTCTTTTTCCATAAAAATAGCATTCTGTGTTTTGAGAGTAACTTCATATTTTTTCTCTATTTTCTTTATTTTGGTCTCTGTATTCCTCTTTGTTTTCAGAGTTCAAATGTTGGTCAAGATGTCAGCAATCCTTACTCCTTGGAAGGGATAGATGGCTGGGAATTTTAGCAAAACTTTAGTGTAAGTATAGGTCAATTATATAAGTTGAATTGACTTGATAAATTATAATCTCTAAATTATTTTGTTTGTAGGCTGACCGAAGGCATGACTAATATTGGATGATACAGGTTTTTGAATATGAAATGGGGAAGACCTTCTTATGTGCAAAAGGATCCCCATTAATAACGACGCCAGTCCTCGAAGATCGACCAAAGGTAGGCCAGTCCTCAAAGAGAGACCTATGACTGGTCAAATGTCGCAGATCCAATGACGACGAGGTTTTCTCTGTCTGCAGCGTTGCGGGCTACCGCGGAGGAGACCCCTGCTGCGACACGAGCCGCTGCATTTTGCCCCTGCAAGTTAGCCAAGGTTTGCCCCCTATATGTAATTTCGTTTCGTTACATTTCATCTCCAACAGAGCCACTACTAGGGGCATGCGCTTCAGGGTCGGGGATGGCGCCACCCCTCTGCCCCAAACCTTCGCCGACCAACCTCCAGCTTAGGCACTTTATCGAGTGATCGAATCACATGGAGAATAAAAAGCTATAGGTATATTTACAGTCAATAGGTTACTCTGCTCTTTGCATTCTTGGTGTTCAATGATATGTCTCTGTGGTGGTAGTTCAATTGTCTACAGTTGGTTTTGTTTGCTTTGTAGTCAAATTAGGACAACAATTTTGATGCAATTGATGACGATTCCATTTTGATTCAAACAAGCTGGGCAACTTGTGCTGTTTAACATTTGTGGATTTATTCCTTTCAGGTTATGGGTGTTATGGTCTGATGATGAAAATACCTTGAGTGCTGATTGGCCACAACAGACATTTGTGTTATCTGTGCCTTTTCTCCTTCAGTGTTTTTTCTTTTCTTTTAGTTTTAGATTTATGTTTACTGATGCGAAATATGGTCCATTTCCGTTGGCACTGTGGACCGCAGGACCAACGTCCTGAACTTACCACACCTTCTACCTCTCTGGACAAAATACGAATATAAGGAAAATAGAAGAATACCAGGTAACCACATCATATATTTAGGAACACGTATGAAGATACAAATAGACCACATGTTTCCAACACCGCAGAGGCAACAACTTCTTTCTGTGTTCCAAACAATGCTACTTATGTTGTATTCATATGATACTACTCAAAATATACATCCATTCATGTTTACTTTAGGTTAGCTGTCTCTACTGTGCGTGGCTGATCACAGATCTTCTAACTGTGCATACTTATCTCCTTCATTTGTCGATAGAGTAAGCCAGGGAGGCACACAACTTTCTACCTATGGAATTTGAGATGACCATAATAAGAGATGGTAATAAAGTTTACCTCAGCTGACTGCACATTTTTATTTGTTGCCGGAACAATACACGCCTTAATTCTGCTGATTTGTTAGAAGACATCATGTATAGCTTTTTTTAACTTTTTGCATGCCTGTACTTGAACTTTAATCCATTTTGTAGTTTTATTTTGGCATTACATCATGCTCTTAATTCATACAACATTAGCAGGTTTGGTAGTTTTGGCTACATGATGCCTCCAGTAGAATATTTACATAGAATTCAACGTTAGCTGTTATAGTGACTTATCTTTAAAATGGGGCACATTATCGCTCGCTTGAGATTCCAATCCTTTTAGGAACTACCAAATGGACTTATTATTTTGACTACTTTATTTGCTTGCTAATTGTAGTTCTGTTCACTTATGCATCCATTATTCTCACATCTTCATTCTTTGCTTCTCTTTTATACAGAAACATGAGAGGAGAAGGGCCTAAAATTGTCAATTTTGTGAGGCCACGAGTATCGAAGATGCATTGTTTCTTATGATAAGTAAAACAGTGATTATGTGCACTCTATTTTTCTATAGTGTGGTTTCTACATGGCCAAAAAGTGCTACCTTGCTAATTCTGACCATTCCCTGCAATTTTTCCCTGAAAATTTTGGTTTGGTGGAGGTATTTCCAGAAGTTAGTTTACAACAATTGGTTTTGTATTTAATTATTCTGGTTCTGTCCTTACTTTGTTGCTAAGATATAAATGTCCATGTATTTGTGGTTCAAATAAAAAAAAGGAATTCTGTATGAATCTTGGTGTAGTTAGAGAATACCTGGTGCTGCAACCCTTCCCTATGTGTTTTGAAATGTCAGCTGTTCTTCCACTTTATTAGAAATAGGATCATATGTAAAATGGTGCCTCTATGCCAACCTCAACAAGGTTACATGTAGACATGTAGTCATGCAAGTCCTACAAGAAAAACTGAACTTAGTCACAGATATAATGTTGCTTTTTCAGTTTTTTTTTATGTCTCCTTTTCATTTATCGAACAGTCTACATGGAAGCAATAGAACTATTTGTAAGCACAATAAGTGAAACTAGATTCATTCTATTGGAGTTTCAATTCATAGGAACCAAAGACATCCATTTGTACATGGTCATGTTGCACTTCCAGTTTTGTCTCCTGTCTCCGCCTTCATAATTCAGGCGCTGTGTTCAATGTATTCAGCCATAGCCAATAAATGTATAGTGGGAGTTATGTAATACAGGCCCGTCACTATTTTTATAGGGAAAATTCATTATATGTAGTTTGCTTTGTATTCTCACTACATATTACTCAAAATTTTTAGTAGAATTCAAGTGAAATCAACATCAAAGTGGCAGGCTAAAATCAACAGCCGCACATTGCTAAATCTAGCATTAAAACACCATACCATACACCGCCGAAATAAGAGGCACACACATGACATCACGCGTGCAACACAAATGAAAAAAACGATGCACCGATACAGCCATCGCCTGACACGGCAACTAAACAATGATCGAGACGTTTGCGCTACAATCAATGGCCAACAAAACTACCAGGGGCGCGTATAGCAGTGCGTGCGCGGCGAAGCGCGCGTATCGTCCTAGTAACGATATGGCTGCATAAAAACCATAAAAATTACGATATTGATACTGTGCGGACGTCCGTCTCGTCCGGACGGATCCGCACACAAAATGACTCGACCGAGCGCATCCACTGACTCCTTATCCCATCCCAGTAACCCCCGCGCCCACTCGCTCGCCCGCTCCCCCCCCCTCCCCTTGCTCCTCGGCACCCACTCGTTGTCGCGCCGCGCGTCGTTCTCCGGGCCGCCCCAGGGACGGACGCCACGCCCACGCGCCAGGTCGCTGCTGCCCCTCCCTCCCTCCCTCCGCGACCTCCATGCGACCCACACCGGAGACGAGGACAACGGCGGTGGCTCCGACAAAGGTAGGTCGGTCTTTCTCTGGATCTAAGCCCTTCTCCTTCTCTGGATATGAGCGCTCATCCTCTAGATATGAGCCCTTCTCCTCCTCCTCCTCTGGATCTGAGAAACGCAGCGGTGGCTAGGGGTTCCGGTGAGCTCTGGGGTCCTATTCCCTCCTCCCTTCGGCGAGCTCAAAGGTGATGGGTCGGGGGCTGTTTCGTACCTTTTTTTTTTGCTGCTTCTCCCGTATAGCAATGGGTTTTTGGGATGTTGCAACAAATGATTTTTGAATGTTGCAATGGGATTTTTGGGTCGCCGCGATAGATGTTTTTGCGAATGTTGCAGTACTACTGCTTGAGATGCTGCAGTACATAATTTTTCGATGTTGCAGCACATATTTTTCGATGTTGCAGTACATATTGTTTCGATGTAGCAGTACCTATTTTTCGCTGTTGCAGTACATATTTTTCGATGTTGCAATACATGTTTCTCGATGTTACGGTACATATTTTGTCGATGTTGTAGTACATATTTTCCGATGTTGCAACGCATGTTTTCAATGTTACACTATATAATTTTATGATGTTACACTACATAGTTTTTCCATATGTTCCCAATGTTGCACTTTAAGTGTTTCATACTCTTTTGGGACAGGGGCACGGTGGGGGAACATGGTGCGTTAGGAAACGGGAGACAGGGGCGCGGTGGGGAGCGGAGGACAGGCGGGTCTCGTTCTATTCCGTTCTATACGCGGGGGGTGGGTGGGGTTTCGTTCTATTCCGTGGGTGGGGGGGCTTTGGGAAGGATCAGCATCCGGGACCTTTTCATGGCTTGAACGTCCGGGCGCTAGAATCGCCGTAAAAATTAGGGATACAAGTGGTCGGCCCGCAAATCCATATATATGGTTAATTTTGTGGGCTACCATGAGAAACCCACAAAATTAAATCTATATGTCAACATGAGACATTCCACAAAATTAAAGTTCTCCTATGTAGTTTAGAAGATATAGATTAATAATGTAGCAGAGTAGCGTAACTATTACACACATCACCGTTCCTTCCGGATCATTAAAATGCAAAAATCTATGAACAATACGTCTTTTTTTTTAAAAAAGGAATAAACAGAACGTCTGGACGCGGACAGAAATAACCGCTCCGTTCGGCTGGGCTAAAATTGGTTTGCTGGGCTGGTTTTGGCTGGGCTGTTCAGCCTAGCTGTTCGGCGGCCCCGGTCTAGCTGATCGGCTTACCTAAAAGCCAACCGTCTGGCCGCATTCTGCTCCCTCCCTCATTCCGTTCCCAGCTAGCCGCACAGCTAGAGTTCCGCTCGCTCGCCCCTCATCCTCTTTCCTCCGCGTGGGCCGCGGTGGCCGTGAGCTCCGCTTCAACGTGCCTGCCCCAGCGGCTGTCAGCGGATCCCTCCCCGCCCGCCTCTCTTCGCCATGAGGGCGCCGCCTCGCCGTCGACAGCCTTCGCGGCGACCGTGAGCTCCGCATCCCTCCTAGAACTTGCCGCCGTCGATGCCCGTCCACCGGCAACAAGGTACCCCCGGATCCGAGGCCGCCGTCGTCCCCCGCCCCTCTGAATCTCAGCCCCACGTGCTCGTGTTGCAGGTTTACCCCGAGCGCCGCCCACGGATCCGCCTCCTAGCTCGCCGAAATCGCCTACCACCTCGCCGGATCCAGGGACCCAAGGTTCGTTCTCTTGCACCTGCGTTCGTGTTCAATTGTTTCTCGCAGTGCAGTGCTCTCATTCGAACTATTACTAACGCTGCAGCGATTTCCTGCACGTGCGAACCACTGCTGCTCAACGCTGCCCACACTGGCAGCGTCCTCCACTTCATCGTGCTCCTCACCTGAAGTCAGGCACTACAATCTCCGTTCAAAACACGCCAAGCGTTTTGCCAAGGCAAGTCCCCATTTCTTACGCCCTAACTCTGTTGTTTGTAACTCTTAGAACCGCTGCATTTTTCTTCTATGCTGGATACATCATACCATACATTTTCAACATGGCAACCGAGGACCACACCTCGTGCTAACTGGGATGACAACATCACGAGAATCTTTCTAGACCTAGTGATCGGACAGAAAAAACTATTGCACTGGAACCAGAAAAGCCTAACAACCATCGGATGGACAAATGTGTATCCAGCCTTCAGAGAGGCGACGAAGTTGCCTTATGACAAGAAAAAGCCGCAGAACAAGTTCAACGAGCTAAAGCGGGCATTTTTTAATTGGCGCGACCTTCAAACCCACACTGGGCTAGGCCATGACCTGAATACTGGAGGCGTCACAGCTGACCTCTTGTTTTTTGAGGGTGCCAACGGGGTACTAACTTCCACATAATTTCTTTCTAACCCCATGACTACCAAGTACTAGGGATGTTCCCATTATAGTCGTTCTAACCTGTGGAACCATGGCACACGTGCAGGAAAATAGCCAATATGCTGTGGAGCGGACCAAAATTCCCCCATGCCTTGACCTACTGATGACTCTTTGGGGACACCCCCCCCCTGAGCGGGGGACGTTGCTCTCTTCTGGTGGACATCATCACGAGAG